AGGGAATAAACCTGACTTGCATCAGCCAAGAATACCGTTCAAAGACAATGATTAATCTAGATCTAACAAATCCAGTACCTATGCATCCAGTGATGCTTCCAGTGGAGTGAAGAAACGCACTGCTATTGGGGGTCTGAACTGACCTCAAGAAATATTTATTGCCTTCTATTCCTTTGTTTGTGGGTTGCATGTGGCAAGACAAATCAGCAGTTCATTTATGACCAAGCTCTACTTATAATCCATAAACCACGCTGTTGTCTACTTAATCAATTCAATCTACATTTTCCTAACATCCTGCTGGGTACTGCATCAAGTTATTTATTAGTGGTGTAGTTCTTCAATACACATTTTCAAATAGAGGTATTAAACAACCCTGATGGCAGACATTAAAAATTCATAAAAATTCATATTGACCAACAATTACTGTAAGACATGCAAGACACAAGGTATTACCTTTCTAAGTGTGTAAAAGCATCTTGCTATATAGCATTATATCGCAGCATTGACTTTCTCATGTTGTAAACAGCATTTGAACTGGTTTCTAACCACAACATTATTAATTCAGTTTATTACCACTGAAGGCTTAAATGTGGCAACCTCAATACATAGCTTTTTTGTTAAGCAAAATCTTGAGGATTAATGTGACCTGTACATGCATTCCAAAGCTTAAATCACAGTTACAGGTAATTGGACATGAAATTATATTCCATAGATGGGGGAGTGGGGAGGGAAGAATTAATTTTTGCTCTGTTATACCTGTAAAAAACTTTTTTTAAAACCCAGTCATGTATAATGTATCTAAAGTTTTTTCAAAATTACCTAACAATGTTGTGACCACAGAAGATGCTATGGGAGGAAACAGCTTTTTATTATATATACAAGAACGAAATTAAAGAATGACACAAACCATTTCATGACATGCTGGCATGCTTTTATATTCCAGGCCACCTATTTTATATTCTCTTATGCTTCATCTGTGTCATTAACCAATTTAATCATAATGGTACTAAAGAAAGAAGCTATTAGATTTGTCTCAGTTGACCCATTTTTTTCTTAACTGAGAGTGTTACTGTGTACAGTAACATTTTCTCTTAGAATCATGTTCTGTTCTAGATCTGCTTTATTTTTATTTCAGTGCATGTGAACTTTAATAACAAAATTAAGGTCTCAAACACAATTTTCTTGCTTTCTTGAAAGCTATTATACAAGGTGGGTAACACTATTTTTTCTTTTCTATATCTTTGTAAGATTTAACCAATATTTAGAAATTTATCATGCACTTAGGTTTTCCTTTTTTCCACTAGACAAGAAGAGTGGACACACAGCTAACTTCATGTTAATTCTTGCAGTAACATTGAACATCGAAATGTAGTATCTGTGTGCATGGGCACAAAAACTAAGATGGCTACATAGCATGAATCTACATGCAACTCCTGCTAAAACACAAAAACTAATGATATCATCTGACATGCAATATTTCCAAGTGATTATGTTAGTGATTATAGCAATATTACATGTATTGTAGTATAACCCAGAAATATTGTCAGTGGATTTTACAATGAAACCTGCAAGTAAAATTAAGTTAGTAATGAACAGTGAATAAAGCTTTCAAAACCATTTCAAGATCTTTAACAGAAAAAAAGGCTTTTCAAACCTTAGCAGACCTGTGGAAAACAAATATGTAAGATGTGTAGAAAATTATACTGGGATATATTGAATGTTAATTATATCCAAAGGAAAAGCCAGTATTCCAACAGTAGCAGAATGTTCACAAAGGGAAAAACAAAAGCAGTATTAGAAAGAAATTAGTTTTGACAAGATCAGTGAAGAATCCAAAGCTAAAAAGCATTACAGAACTACATAATTGTCCCCAAATTAGTGTTATGGATCTAGGATGTGTGGAAGTAAGCTTCTATTTCATGTAAATGTATTAAAATCGGAGTTTGAAATTCATACCGAGGGCAGCCAGACAACTTAAACACAATACTGTCATCATTCCAAAGACATGTTTTTCATGATTTAACATGGATTTTTTGTTTCTTTTCCCTCTAATGCAGCAGTGTTTCATGACACGCACCGAGATTGCTTAATAATTTAAGTAGTTTTTCCTTGCCTAGAAACACTGAGTGTTCTTACACTTCCAGCATGAATTATAAATTCCGTGGCTTTATGATACATATAAAATGCAATCATTAGGAAGTCGAAGAACTGGGGAAACCTAATTCTTCTGCTGGACTTGTAGAGAAGACCTCAACCTCTGACAGACCCCACAGCAAACTTAATTTCTAAGTAGGAGTCTGCTGACACTGGCAGTAATATCTAGTCATATGCAGACATTACACCAGAAAAAATCTTCCTGACTGGGCTGGTAAAAGCAGTATAAACTGATGGCAATAACCCTGCAGTTAAAGAATTTTTGAGCTGTTTTGAATTTTTTGAGCTGTTTTGCACTTAGAAATAATTCTGCGGGTTGTAGGCCTCGGTATACCTAACACTGTCTTGAGTTGCAAATAGTCAGAGACCAGCACAGTGCTCACCATTCCCATGGTTGTTCTCACTGCTGTCCTGGACAGGCCAGTACCACTGTCTCAAAAGCTGTGATGGCAGCACCACAGCTCAGGAAAACCCTGTGTTTAAGAGTAAACTAGTTGAGCTCAGTAGCAAAGGCTCAGTTGGGCCCAAGTAAAAAGCACAGACCCAGCAGACTCACCTCACCATCAGCAGGGAGAGGTGAAAGTGCACCCACCACAATGAACAACTTGCACCACACCAAGCAGTCCTTTAACACCACCTCACCCAGGTCTTATCCTCTCTTAAACTGGGATCTAACAGCACAACTCCTGCACTACCGTCTGTCTCCATCTTCTCAGCAATCTGTCCCAGATGGTCTCCTTCCAGCCTTACATGGATCACCCTACACGAAGCACCTTGGCCACCAGAGGAGAGCACAGGTTTTGCCCTGGCCATTGCAGGCGTGCCTTATGCACTGACCTCAGCAAGGCCTCCATGTAGAGCAGGGCCTCTTGCTTTTGGATTCTGCTGGAGGCTTTTCTTTCTTTGACTAGTAGAAGCCTGCCTGTTGTTTGGTTTAAAATCAGAGTACAGCAAATTGTGTTCTTCCTTTCAGGACTAATTTCTACAGTGCTGGCTCTCAAAATGTAAATAATTGGGCTATCACAATGCATTTTGTCTCATCCTGAGACCCAGGGCCACCTCCTAATTTTGTTTTGTTTTTACTGGAATGAGAGTTCCAAGTTCCATTTTAGTTATTTTTGTATTTAAATAAATTTGTATTTAATGATTGTTTTTCTTTTTATGAATTCCTATTTCCACAGTGAAGATGTTCGCAGTTCAGAACGCTCAATCATCCCAACCACATCCAACCACACTACCTAATCCATCTTTTAGGAAGCAGCAATTAATATTGCCATGGAAAAATAGTCATATGCAGTGTTTCTAAATGTTTTAGCTTTAACATATTGATCCTCCATTATAAGATATCTCATTTGTACTTATCCTGCTCACAGTTCAAGACTAGTGACACCGTAGTGCTGCACCCCTTGCACCTAAAAATGCAGTACTGGAATGAGGTATTGCTCAGATACCCATCACTTAAATGAATAAAATCCAAAGGTAAAACATGAGCAGCAAGGAACAACAGAAGGCATGCCCCGCTCCCTTCCTGATGCACATGTACACTGACATGACTGGACCTAGTCTAGATTTTCCCAGTGTCCGTGTAGTTAGATGTTTCCTCTGCGTGGCAGGCCAGACCAAGTCAGAAATATACCAAAACCACCCACACCTTAGCAGAAGTGACTGAAAATAACCCATGAAACATAACAAAAAGTAATAATACTACAAAAGGTACTACCTTTGTAATGATAGAAACAGGAACAGCTCAGAGGGTTCAGTTTTCCAAGTAATTCAGCTGGCACAGTCCCTGCAGTGTGCCAAGTCTTTACAGAAGTGGTTCCCTGACTGAAGTCCAGCCTCCTGCAATCTGTGGTTTGCAGCTGATTGCAAACTCTGATGGTTTCACCACACTAAGATATCCATGAGGACTTCCTTCATGTGAATTTTCCTTCCTCTGATACTGACTGAATTAATTCTGTAGCCTTTCCTTCAGTTCAGGCAGAGTCTTTTTATTTTGGACACCTGCATTCCTGCAACTGGTACTCAGCAAATTCACATTTGAGATCTTTAAAATCTTTGCCATATTTCACTAAAATCAGCCTCAATGCATTAATGTTCAAGTAGGGAAGGTGAACACAGGAGTTTGGGCGGGCAAGAAACACACATCTATGCACAAAGTGGTCTGAAGAGTTTGCTTACTATGAAAACTTATTTCAGAAGGTTCTTTCCATTCTTCTGTAATCCTGTTTAAGGGGAAACTCTGGCTCCTGGTGGTGGGTCTGACCTTCATTCTGAACTTGGAAGATGCCACACTGATTGAGGTCTCCTGACTAAATTTGGTGGCCAGTGCAGCAGTGAGCTGAAGCGTTTGCAGTGTCTCTTACGGGCTGCTCATTTTGATTTTCAGTTTTTGTTTTACTCTGTGCCACTCCGAAAAATAAATACACGGCATAAGATCGTGGACGTGCTAATAATACCACACCAGAACACTTGATCGCTGAGGGGACACCTCCCAGGCGCCTTCCGTCCCTGAGGAGCTTTTCTCCACAGGATGAGTGTGAGAGCAAACCAAACCCCAAAACTCTTGCACAGCTGCAAAGGCTCGACTCCCTCCTGTGTTCTCCCCACACCCAGACCACGGCGACAGCAGAGGGCTCTTACCGCAGTTGGCGGGCAGTGCTGAGGGGGTGTGTGTGTGTGTGTGCTCAGGGGAGGATATGGGTGGGGCCCAGGGGGCAGCGGGGAGGGCCCCGCGATTCCGTCCTGGCGGCGGCGGCTGGGGCAGAGCCCTCGGGCAGGGACAGAGCCTTCGGGTAGGGACAGCGCCCTCGGGCAGGAACAGCCGCCTTGAGCCGGGACAGCCCCCTCGGGTCGGCACAGAGCCCTTGGGCTGGGACAGCGCAGGCAGCGGAACCATGAGCCGTGCAGGTCGGTGTGGGACGGGTTGCGAGGGCGGGGAGGTTCCCACAGGTGTGTCCCGGTGCGGTGTTGCGGAGTGGAGCCCTTGGAAGTAGCTCTCAAGTGCAAGCGGCGGCATCGAATGCATCTCTTATGGTCTCGCAGTACCAACGTAGCTTTGCTGGAGGGGAGGAGATGTAGCACCAAGAAGTTAGGAAATTAAAGAATGAAGGTTGTACGAGCAGTGTTGATTCGGTCCTACATGTGTATCGGCTCTGGGATAGTCTTAATTGGCTAATCACATGTTGTGTCATTAATTAAAAATTGATCATCCCCTTGCAGTCTCTCAGCTCTCCGTATGGGATCCAGCCTATAGTGCACGCAAAACTGTGCTAGACTTTGCACAGAAATATTAATTCTTTGTTTATGCTTTAATTGGTGTTTATTGCGGTATCTGGGTGCCTCAAAACTGTTAGTGTGTATTTTGTTACTCCCTTGACAGTATTGGAACACATTATCCCATTACTGGTGGAAAAAATTGATGAAAAGGTAAAATTACTTACAAAGGCCTCATGTAAATCAGAGGCAGCCCTTAATCTGAACCAGGAACCTGTGACTTCACGTCCCTGTGCATATTCTTCCCAATCCTGTTCTCTTATTCACAGAAATAGTAACTATTTACTGCTCCCATTTTCTTCATGTGTCTTTGCAAGGCTCAGCAACACTTAAATCAAGCCAGTGACTGCTAAGATGGGCACTCAATACAAAGGAAATGAAAGACATGTAGCCAGTCGCCAGAGGTTTCACTCACTTGTGTGTGGGAAGCTCAGCTTTATTTTTGTGATTCTTTCATTAGGTGGGACAATATTTTATCCTCATTTTCTGAATGAGGAATCAAGAAAGAGAAGTCTGTGGGCCTGAGTCTGTTCTGATTCATCATTTTAAATGACCACTTCAGATGTCAAGACATGTCTTTTTATGAAGTACTTTGTATTTTGTATCATTTTGTAACATCAGAGTAATCATATTAATTATTAGTTATCGAGCACAGCTTTGTAATGACATTAGCCTTGCAAGGCATCTTTACCTACTACTCTCATCATACAGATAAAAACACCAGGGAAGAAAGGCAAAATGACATTTCCAGCTGTTTTATAGTAAGTTAGTTGTAGATAAAATATTAAAACTCAGTACTGCTTTGCTTTCTACCTAGTGCTGGTGGTGATGGGTGTAGTTACTGGTTGTTTTCTATCTAGATCCGACTTGGAGTACTGCAAGCGTATTTAAAGATGAAAGTCGCATATATGAACAAAACTACATTTAATAGCATTTCCAAATATGCATATGCTATCACAATGATTAGGCGAACTGATGTTTGTGGATGTGAACAGTCGGCAGGGCAGTATTCTGACAATCACAGAAATATGCTCAGTGGTCGTTCTGTATCAATGACAGGATACAACTGTGCATGACCTGAGGGCATATAGTTTAGAGTCTGGATCTTGATGAATAAAGGCAGTCAAATCCTGAGTATGCATGTGAAATAGCTGGAGTAATTGCTGAGTAAATATGTAAGAATACCAAAGAGGGATGGCTGCTTTCCCAGCTGCTCACAGACAGTTGCACACATTCGAAGGGGAACAAGGAACAGTAGGCTCAGCCAGCAGAGGATGTGCTGGCCTTCTGTCTGGCATCATTTGTCTCTGTCATTTTTTCATGTATTGCTCTGCTTAAGCCTCATCCACCGGCAGCCTCCACGCACAAACCTCTCTCCTGCAGGTTTGCCACAGCATCAAACCTTTCTTTTATAGAAAGAGGTCTGTTGTGTATGGAGGTGCATAGAGGTCTGTTTTCTCCTGATGGAACAGTATCTGTGATGTACTGAGATTGCTTCAGGTGGATTGCTCAAGGGCTAGTCTAGCTCAAATCTGAAAGCTGTTTGGGATGCTTGGTGGGAGAGACAGGCTTGTTACATTTCAGGACTCTATAGAAGACCCTAACCTAGATGAACTTTATGCAAATTCCATTAAAGCTGCTGTAGCTAGTAGAGATAGAACATCTGTAATTCATGGTCTTTGATGACATCTGCCTTCACTTGAGACAGGAGGCACTGACAGGATAACTTCATTGCTATGTTGGAGTCACCACTCCTCTCCACACACATGTAATTATTTTCATTGAGATCTTTCCTTGTGTGTCCTTGATTTGCACAGTGTACATTTCTGTGTCTTCAGCTGTTTCTGGGAAGCGGTGTTCTGGGAGGGAATCTAGATGGTGAACAGACACAAGTAATACTTGATTTTTGTTTTTCTCAAGAATTAGGGAGTGCTTGAATTTTTAGTAGTCAATAATTTTTCAGCTCCTTGACTTTTGGGGAAAAAAGAGTTCTCAGACAATGATTTGATTTAAAATCCAAGAGGTCTAGTGGTGGAATTTTGAAGCAGCTTCAGTAATAACATAATACAAATCTTAATATTCATATTCAATATTAATTATTAAGTAATATTGATATTATTAATAATGTATTAGTAATTTGAGCATCAAAGAAGCCAGAACTGAAGTACCTCAAAGCTATCATTTGCCTTTGGAAGTGTTTGGATGCTCATTCAGATTCAAAAGCTGATACTAACCAGATGTGTTCCTTATGCTGATCATCTCCCATCTCCCTTCTATTGCAAGCAACAGTTACTGATGTTTGCATAGAAGCAATTGACCACCCAACATTTGAAAAACTGGAGCACTGATATCACTGATGTTGTGATAAAGGTGAAAGAAAGCAACAGTCTCAGTTTCTTAAAAGGAAAACATTTGTTCCCAGAACTCAAAACCCACAGTGTGACTCTTTCTCTGTCCGTATATCTCTTGAAGCTGGTCTTTGAGGATTTAATTAGTTTATATACTCCTTTCTTTGCATGTAGGTGATAAAGAATGTTTTCTCCTCTAACAAGCTTAAGCACCCCAATGCAAACAGCAGCAATAGCTTGTGATGTAATTATATCTCCAAGGGAGGTCCAATGATTTCTGATTATCATTAGGAAAATGAAGTTGTCCTGACATTTTTTATAAATCAAAATCAGACTACTGCGATGTGACCTGTGATAAAAACCCCCTATGTTTGATTAAATGTAAGCAGAAGTAATAATTTCAGAGTGGTATTGAAACTATTTTTTGAAACCACTGTGAAGATAGGGAGTCGCGAATACCAAGATTTTAATTGGAACTTTTAAACTGGAATCTATTTCATGTAATGATATTGATGTTTAGTGTTTATTGGCTCCCTGCATTGTAAAAAAGCAAGGCTTTGTGTGAAGCCACAATGTATAATTTATGCTATCATAGGCCTGACAGTTGAAGCAAATTGGTCTTACTGTCCCCATCATTACTTTGTTATTCAATGTTTCTGTGAGCTTTTGTGTACAGTTAGGTAAGAGGAATCTTACACGTTTGACATTGAGACATTTCAAGCAGAGGTACAGCTGAATTTGGAAAGCACTATTTGCATGCAAATCACATGCTTAACAGATGGTGAGGACTTGAAACTTTACACAGGTGTTTATCAATAGCTGCAGCCTGTGGTTCATTGCTGTTGCTTCTGTGTAAGAAATAGAGAATTCATGTAAGACCATGAAGTTGAAATGCAATGCCTTTGTCAAGTTTCATAGTTTTTTCTCTGTACCTACTGGTAAACTTACTTAAAGTGCATTGCTTAATCTTGCGGGTTTTCATAGCTGAAAAAAAATGTATGGCTGTGTCTAGTCTTTCCTCTGGAGTGTACCATAGCATCTGTCCAGCCCCACATCCTCGGGTTTCCCTTCTGGGGAAACCAACATCAGAAGAGAGGCTTTCTTGGTTGTCAGAGTTTTGCCCTGACACCAAGTTAAGGTAAAACTGAATAGAGCAGCTGGATCTAACACCTGGTCCTAGATCCCCTACTCCAGACATGTGTGAAAGAGCTTCCTTACAAGAAAAAAGTCAGACTTTTTAGTCTTTTTAGATAAACAACCCCCGTCCCCAAACCTGACCAAGACCCCGTCACATGCAGTTCAATTCATGCCTAAATGTGCTTTATCCTCCACATTTCCCAGCTTGGGGACATGCATGTGTTGTCTTTCAAACAAAGCAAGGTATTTCAAGGTATATCAAAATGTAATGAAGTAATAATATTTTCACTCACTATTTATTGTTTTACTTGCTTCCAATTAAAAAGAAAAAAACAGAACCCAAACCAAAAAAGAAATATTTTTTTTTTTTTAGTTTTTCTCTCTACAGGGCGAGTGTTAAGTCATGAAGAATAAATTATTCAAGTTTCTTTACTGTAGTCAGTAAAAAGTGGTGTTTGTCTCTTTGTTTTTAATATCAGATTAGAGGTACAATTGAAATAGTAAGCATTATTTATTTTCTAGTGGAAAATATCAGAAATTCTAAAGGCTTTGGAACAGTGAATAGAATTACACTTATGAATTAAACTTTTAAGAAATAAGGTAATATATGTTAAACATATTTTCATAGATACTTTATTTTATTTATTTTATATTATACATACATATTTTCAACATACCCTCTGTTTTTCATAATTTTCATTTATTTGTGAAACATTTACAGTTGAAATAGCTGAAAGGAAAAAATTATGGTGTGCCTGGAATGAATTGAACATGGACAATTTTTAGTCATTTGAAGACTGAAAATAAAAGCCTTCATGTTAAGCAGTGCTGTGTCCTCTGTAAAAATTAAAGGCTATATTTAGTACAGGCTTCAAAGCAGTTTAATGTTAATATGATAGTGAGCACTAAATGAAAACAAGCAGTACTTTAATCAGAAGCCACAAGTATGGTGTTCCTCTGATTTATTAAAATTTGTGATTGAAAATACTTGGGCACTTGCTTTTTGTTAAATTATATTATGCATGGTGACAGAAATAAATTTCTTAAATTAACAAAACCATATTAATAGCAGAAACCAGATATCTTATGAGTTTGATTAGGTTTCCTTTAAAAATATGAAATAGTCTAGTAAAGCTAGTAAATATGCAG